TATATATATATATATAAGTTTTTCTTCATTACCCATTCAAGCCGTCTCCAGCCATTATTAGTTTCAAAGTGGGTTCCTCGTCATCGAATCATCTACTTATGTTCTACCATAGTTTTATACACTCCATTCAAGACCATGTACTACCAACAATCAGTATGAATGCTAAGCACAAAGATAAGATTGAAAAGATACAAAACATGTTTAAGACTAATCACGTGACATCCTTCATCCATGCCCACTGAGGCCCTATTGCACCTCACGAGCCTCGGCTCTCTGCCAACTAGCACAAGTGAATGAATCTTGTTACTTTGTTCTAACTGCATACAAATATACGTTTGTACTATTAAAACTGAAGTACCTGAACATTAATCCTTATTAGTCAAATACAACAAATTCAAGAGGTGTTTTGTAAATAATGAATTGTAACATACTTCCCAAGAAAGAAATTACATTCTTATAAAACGACAATAACAATGACAAAACATGATGTTTCTGCACTGAAAGAATTGAAAACTATAAAGATATTTTAGTAACCAAAACATATAAAGACAATAAAACTGTAAGAGTAAAATACAACACACTAAATTAAAAACAACAATTAACAAAAAACCTGAACACTATATATGAAAACAAACTGAATAATTTCCTTTAAAAATATGCAAAGAAAAACATCTGTAGAGAAATTATAACAGCACTCAAAACATGGTTGTTAGAAAAAGATAAAGTTATGGCTGTTTCAAAATACAGAAAAACCCAATTAGCATCAGACCAATTATCTCTACATATGCATCATACAATTGTAATCTCACTCTTAGCTGTTGTCAGATTTGATAAAAAAGTCACAAATAATAGTGGAAGAATCCTATTAAGTCACCAAGAAGCGGCACTAAAGAAAAACAAAAACTGTAGCTCTGATATAATTTTAGTGTTTCCACACATAAGGACCAGTGAAGCCATTAACATAACAATAGAAAAACTAAATAAAAACTATGAAACAGTCCTTAAATTAATAGAGTTATAAATACAGACCTTTTTTGACTTTGCAGTAATCAACTGTTTTGAATTCTTAGGGCAATTTTACATAAAAAAAAAAGTAGACTTAGCATAAGAAGTCCTATGTCGCCGACTCTTGGGAATTTATTCATGATTCCTTTAGAAACAAAAGCAATTCAAACAGGTTTATTCCTCCTCTATGTTCTTAGAGATATGTTGATGATTTTTAATAACTAAGATGAACAAAACTAATTCTTAGTATGCAAATGGAATTATCTATCAAATTATAAATGTATCTTTGGTTATTAGTAAAAGCAGAAGAAGCCTAAAAAGATTTAATTTACACTTCACAGGGCCACCACATTTAACTCTCTCTCTTCAGGTTCAGCTGATTTGACCTAAAACTGACCTTTAGAGTTTTCATACTATAACTTCTAATATGTCTTGTGTATCTTCACAAAATTTTGCAAGCTTTCAAGTAAACATTGAGTGTCACTTGTACACAAAAAAAATCAGAAATTTTAATCAAGTAATTTCACTACAAATTTCTCCATGAATATATGGAGTCAAAGTGTTGACTGCTCCAAGTACAAAGTGATTTTCATGTTAAGATTAAAAACACTTTTCTTCACCTGAAAAATCATAAATTTCATTTGCATAATCTCTAAAATTTCCTAAATAAATTTAAAACTTTTTTTTTCAGTAAAACTTTATATTTTGTCATTTTCCCTACCCTAATTCTATACAAGGTAGGTCAATTTGACCAACCTCATAACCACCAAAAAATAATTCAAAATAAATCTAATTTACCCTTTCCTTTGTAACGTGAAACTACATCTGTTTATCCTAAATAGCTTTAAACTCGTAACATTATACGTCTGCTTATACTTAAATTTTATTGTCTTATTTCTCTTTGAACTGTCTAACTAATATTCCTACCTCAAAAGTCATAGATCACTTGGTGAATGTGTATCTCATGTTAACCTATCAAATTATGTAACACACAGGCCACTTGCGAGTGTATATCGTGAAACTTTTTATTACTATTACTTATTTTACCTAATTTAATGTAACCTAAAAAGTTTCTAATATTTTAATTTTAGTTACTTTTATAATAATAATTAAAGAATACACATGAAAAATAAATATATTACTGACCTGCGTCTTCTTTTTTATTTTGCTGTTGACTAACAATGAAATTTAATCCTACTTTTTTATATTAATGGCACTACTCCACAAAGTAATTTTTTAGTTAGTTAAATAATGTACCAAAGATAATAATAAACAAAATGTAGCCCTATAACTATCACAATTTTTCTGGCTTTCCAACTATGCGACAAGAGCTATTAAAAATTCAGCTAAGTTCATCGATGAGTTTCCTGTGGGAATAAATGTTGAACTGGAAGCAAAATAGACAATTCTCCGTACAGTAAACCACATAATATAATACGTAATTTGATAGATTAAAACTTTGATTTTCTATTGGTTATAAATAATATAGCATTAAATGCCAGAGAGAACTATTGGCAATTTCTGAAAGAAAGGATGTGACGTGTGTGTGTGTGTAGCAAAAGGGGGGGTCTTATTTTCTATTTTATGGCTCTGTAACCAAATAAGATTGAAGGCTATAAAAATTATACTTTGCCAGAGCAATAACAACATTATAATGAGTATATTACATTAAATTTTGTACTTCTCAGAGGAGTGGTGAATAAATCAAAAAGGGCATACTAAAAGAGTAAATGTCACAATTCTGATATTAGAGGAATTTCATTTTAATATTGCCTTATAAAATTAAGAACTTAAAACTCATATAATATTAAAATATAAATTATTAGCTACAATTTTATCCCAAGTTTATTTGTATACCATGATAATAAAGTAGTTTAAAAAAAATTTAGAATGTAGTTCAGTAAAACCCTATGACACGAACAGAAAAGGATGCCCATAGCAAGAGGATTAAATAAACACATAAAAACTTAACCATAAAACAAAATATAAAAATATGAATATACTGGTATAGAATAAAATGTACACACAAGAAAAATTAAGGAAGCATTTTTAATAAAAATAAACCTACCTAAATATTCATAAAGGATGCCCCCTTTACCTCTGTAACAACATGTGAATTCTGCTTAAACAATTTAAAAGCTAGCATCACTCTGTTCTCTATCACTAAATTAGGAAACTTTGTTTTAAATTGGTTTATTCTTTATTTTCACTTACCTGAGAAAAGATGAAGTTTTCTCAAACATATTCAACAATAATAAGTTCCCTATCCACATCTTTGACAATTTTGTTTTTGTATCTAATATCAAATTTCTTACTGGCAAAATCTTAAGCATTTATTGGTTTTTTAAAATGCAACTGAAAGTTAATAAATTAAAGTTAATGATTAAAAAAAACTTTCAATACATAGGCTACTATGTAGAAAGGCCAATTTGAAACTACCATATTCTAAAGTTTTCTATCAAGTCAGAGATTAACTTATATCAAAAACATTTACATTTATTTTTAGATGAGAAACGTAGATTATTGTTGAAATCCTAAGTTACACAGTAGTTTGTCTCAAGTGTTTGTTTGTTTTTTGAATTTTGCGCAAAGCTACACGAGGGCTATCTGCGCTA